CATTGACTTCCTTGATTTACCCTCTTCCAACTTTGAAATCCTTCGTTAACTAATGCAGAAGTAGTATGCATATGAATGTCACTCAAGAAAAGGAAGCAGAAAAAACAGTAAGCTTTATCAGTCACAGGTGAATACTCTAACCAATTAAACTTGTCAACCCAGTGTTTCTGAAAACTTCGGTTTTGAGCTCCAAACTTTTTCACTGGATAAGCTTCCATTCTCGGTTGATAAGGCCCAACATTTAGATATGCACGTCTAACTTCATCTCGCACATTAACATGGTATTCATGAATTTGTTTTCTTTTTCCCGGATCCCTCTCAATGGAAAAAGATGAAGGCAACTCAAAATTGGAGATAGATTAGATTTCAGGGACTAGGACATGTGAAGGAACCTCATTGACTAGATCTTGCACTATCGTAGGTATAGGTTCAGAACTTCCTTCACCGGTTTGACAATTCACTTTTGAAAAGAATGATGAAATCAACTTCTTTCCCTTCTTGGCAACATGTTCATTATCCATTCTAAAAAAACATTTTCAATATTGGTATAAATTAAAAAACTTATATAAAAAATATATAACAGATTCACTCATTCACTCTAAAATGCACAATTCACATATTCACTCTAAAATTACTGGTATTGTTCAACCTAAAATGCACAATTCACAGATTCACTCTTTCAAAGTTCACAAATTCACAACAGAAGTTCATAACTTCACTGATTCACAATAAAAATTCAACACTTCATCCCTGAAAACAACAAAGAGGTCAGAGGATTTACCTGGTCGGGCAGAGGAAGAGACGGTCCGCGGTCGGGCAGAGGAAGAGGCGGCTGCCGGCTCCGGGCTCCGGCTGACAGGCTCGGCGCGTCACTACTCGCTCGGTCGCTGCTGCCTGCTGTTCACGTCTCCGGCACGGCGGCAACGCAGCACCTGGCACTCTGGTCGACGGTCGTCCCTACTCCCTTGAAGCCTTCGTTGAGTTCGTTCGACTTCGACAGTCGACTGGGGTCTGGGAATCCGCAGGCTGGGAGTGGGAGCGGTAAGGCTTAGGGGAAAGATGTGGGCTGTTTTTTCTGGGCTGGGCTGGGAATTATTTGTGGGGTGGGCTGACATTTAAATTTAGGGTGGGCTGAGAATAAAAAATAAACCAATCCTATTATATAAAAAAATTGGGCTGGGCTAAAGCCCACCCCTGGCCAGGCTACCATCCGCCCATGGGGACATGAAAACTGTGACGAAGGCCAAAAGGTGGATGAGTGAGGATAAAACAAATTAATCTCCGTCAACGTTCAAATTAGTTTTTCTTTAAATGAAATTTATTTATTCAGAAACTACATTAAAACCGCTACAAAGTCTGCAAAAAATAATTCAAAATTCATAAACTTTTGATTCATTAAGTAAAAGATTAAGAGTGATTTATGTTGATCAAGTGAATAGTAAATGTATCTTACAAATTGGGACCGAGGGAGTATGAGTTATTTATTATACTTGTACTGTAAGTTAGTACTACGTATATACTACCTCCGTCCCTTTAAACTTTGCCAAAGTTGACCGGCACGGAGAATAATAAAGTAAAAATTACTACGTATATGGTTGAGATTTGTGCAGAGGAGAGAGAAATAACAGAAACCACAAAATAATTGATTAAAAGGGAAAGTGACAAAGTTTTTTGGGATGTCCCAAATAGAAAAGATGACAAAGTTTTAAGGGACGAAGGGAGTAGTAAACACTCATAAATACTTAGGGTTTCGGTTTTTTATAAATATAATCTATGTTTTTTTTGCAATGGAGCCAAAAATTTACTATTTTTAGGCTTGGGAATATGATGGAATAAAACAAAATGGCTCACTTAACTGCATGCGCTTCTTTGTTATGTAGCAGTAGTCAGTCCATACAATCTCCGACGCGAAGTTCACTACGGGTTATCCGAAAACAATCTCTCTGTGCTTTAGAACATGGGTAAGACTGCATACATCTGACCCTCTCTTACCCCACATGGAGAGCCTTTGCGGCACTGGGGTAATGATAAAGAAGAATCTATGTTTTTATTTTGCCTGAGTGTAGTATCATATCCATATATTCATTACTAGTTTTTTAAGGTGCTTTGCACGGTAGTGATAGTAACCAATTTTCCTATTTATGCTCTATAGATTTTATGTGTTGTTGGTTTTCTTAAATAAAGTCTGCGTACAAAATGAATCCCTACACTGATGGGATACTAATTGATGGGTCAAAAGCAGCTTGAACATCTTCATGCCGCAGACACATATTCAAGAATTTGATCTCATTACTTGCTTCAAAAGTAAAACAAAAAAACAGAACTAGAGTTTCAGAAATTGCAATGACAAAATGTTACAAGGAAATTCAATTGTCGGCTATGAATGAAAGTAACAACATATTTTGAAACCAACAACCCATTCCACCCAAAGTAGAGATAAATACGATACAAAAGAGGGATAATTGGGTGCAAAACAATAGATTAAACAACATGACAAGATTACAATAGGATTGCATACAAAGCAACATATAGGATACTCTTCATTGGCGCAGGTGACTTCACACTAATCCAAAAATACGACAAAGTACATAAAGCGAGAAGAACCTTGACCGTGGTGTATATTGCAGGCATGTGGAACAATATACTCTCTCTGGTTCTGAAAGATTTTTACATTTTCCATTTTTAGCAGTACCGGAAAGATCTTTACACTTCCTTATTTACCTTATTTGACAAATAAATCTACACAAAACAGTGCCAAACAATGCCAAACAGTGTCAAACAGTGCCAAACAGTGTTTATTTCCTTAAAAACTGTGAAGTCAAAGTGTCAAGATCTTTTGGAACCGGAGGTAGTATATAGTTCAATAATTCATACTCCCTCTGTTCCAATGTACTTAGGCATCTTTGACTTTTCCAATCAAAGGTGGTAAACTTTGACCAATTATTTAAACTAATATATTTATGCAAAATTTAATAATTTTATACTTTTATGATAGTATTTAAAAAAAATCATGTCATTTTCATATTATTAATATTTTCTCTATATAAACATATAATCGATCAAAGTTAAACGTCATTTACTTGAAAAGTCAAGTTTGTCTAAGTAAATTGAGACAGAGGTACATAGGTGTAGTAAATTGAGACAGAGGGAGTAGAAATTATTTCACGTTGGGCGTGCATTGGCGTTTGTTTTTGTTGTGACCTGCAAGCAGAAGGTACATAGGTGTTTTGGGTGACGGGATCAATCGTATGGTCATTGTAGGCCTCATATTGCCCATTTTGTGGTTAGCGAGACATTTGGTCCTTTTCAAGGGTGAATGATTATAAGTCTGATATTAGGATTTGTGACTGTATTAAGGGTATTTATCCTGATGATTGTATGTGAGTTTTCAGTATATTAATAGAAGCCTTCTTCATTAAAAAAAACTTAGATCAATGAAAGTATTCAATTAAAAGATTACGCCCAAACTTTTGACTCACATTTTAAGCGATAAACTAAACTTCATCATTGTGATTTATGTTAATTTAACTATGATTTATCATCATGATTTATATTAAATTGTGACATTTGCGTTTATCATCACCCAAGGGGAGCATCATAGACGAAATAATATTGTATTTATTTAATACAATAATAATAAATGACAAAATGTATTTTGTCATACATATAAATTAGGTTGATATCAGTTATCGTCTTAAATTAGTGATATGACATGTCATCAAAACTCAAAAGACATCTCTCCACAATTTAACGTCAAATTTTGACGTCAAATTTAGGTGATAAATAAACTTCATCGTCATGATATATGTTAATTGGTGACAAAAGTAAGATTTAAAATTACTTAAAACGATATTGTCATGATAAATCCTTTTTCACTCACAGATCTTATTTTGGTAGCTATTACTTGATAAAATATGATAGTTTTTGTGCGTCACATAAAATTTTGAACCAAATTTGTGATTTCTTGTACTGCATGCACAAATGTGTGTAACATTATTGGAAGAAAGATATATTTGAATTGAAAAAATGTTATTGAAACCTACATTTTCTGACATTTTCATAATAAAACAAGATAAATACAATACTTTCACTTTGATAACTAGCCCAGTACTATATTGTTGTTGGATACACTACAGGAATTGGGGGAGCAGAAAGGGGATGCTGAGCTTAAATAGTCATGACCGTCAGTCATACTATAATCAGAGCCCTTACAAGTCACTCCTCTTTTGCCATGTTATCTTTATTCAATTTTTAAATAAGCTTGTTTCTTGTCATATTTGATAATAGTGGTACTATTCAAATTCATTTTATTAAAAGATTAAGTATCAGTCGCATAACTATTTTTGTAATAATAGTTTTACTTTTTCATTTCTTAATTTTAATGAGATAGAGGTAATATTGAATGTCCAATTACCATGATGTCCACTTATCCAGTTTTAGTTCCTTTTAGAAAGGTGGGGCCTTGGCCTTCTCTGGCCCTAAGGATGTGTTTGGGAGTTGGGTTTTGGAGGGGAGGGGAAGGTTAATGAGGGTTTATGATCAATTTTTTCATGTTTGAGAGTTTAAGAAAATAGAGAGGTGGTTTTGGAGGGCGTTGTAACCCTTCAAAACCCTCCAAATACTTAATTTTAAGTCCCCCCAATTTGGAGGATTTTGGAGGATAATTAACAAGATGATAATTTAAGCTAAATTAGAAATGAATATCAGCTCAAGAATTTGAATTTGTCATATCTCAAAGTCATTTTAATTATAATTCCTTCAAAAACCCTCTCATTCCAATTTTATTACTCCCAAGTACAAACAAGGGCTTCCTCACCCTCTCCTCCCTTTCCCCTCCAATAATATACCTCCAAAGTCTTTCCCTCCCCTTCTCTCCAAACTCCCAAACACACCCTAAGGTAGATCCGTCCCTGCATCCCTCCTTCCACATAACTATAATGCCTAAACAAAGGAGTATATGTTTTCATTTATTCATTCACATAACCACTTTTGTTGCAAACAATAGTAAGAAGTTGAGGCCAATTATGAATACTGAAATATATTCACATCAAGTTGAATTGTTAGATTTCCAGTAAGTCAACATTCAGAACTCATAAGAGCAAGATTTTAAAAGAATAGCTGGATTGAGATATATTCACTTCCTTCTATTTACTTTCTCCCTTTTTCTCTTATGCTCTACCTATTGTAAGTATTGGTCAACCTGCCCAGAAGCAGTTCATCAGTAGTTCCTGAAACGAGGCTATGATTCCGGGGGCGTCTGAGCGTCTCTCTGTCCTGCGAAATGAAGCAGTTTTTACATATGCTATAACAACAACTCTTGAAGTAAACAATAGTAATAAGTTGAGATCAATTATGAATACTGAAATATATTCACATCAAGTTGTTAGATTTCCAGTAAGTCAACATTCAGAAGGGTATTGTTAGAAGAATAGCTGAATTGAGATGTATTTCACTCCCTTCCATTTACTTTCTCCCTTTTCTCTTATGCTCTACGCCTCTACCCATCGTAAGTATCGGTCAACCTACCGAAAAACAGTTCATCAAGAGTGCATGAAAGGAGGTAGTCTAAGTCTGTCCAATTGTCCAGTGCATTTCCTCCACCAGGTGGCTGCACACACGGATGACCGTATAGTACATTTCTTCCTCTGTGTTGCACTGTGGGAGTAGAGGAGGATGAACCATAGTCATATCCAACACCTTCTTGTCCAGTGGGTTGCTGCTGCATACTGCTGGGGAAATTTCCATGTGGTAATGACACTCTTCGGCCTTGTAGTAAGATAACAGGACACAAAATAAGTTATGTGCATAAATTTCTAAAGGGTCTGTTTGGATGGAGAATTCTAGATGACAAGGCTTAATCTATATCTTGAAAAAGAGAATGATTCTGAATAACGAATGGTGTGTTTGAAATGTCATATGTTCCCCTATTATAATATGCTATTAGTTCAGCAAACCTCATATATATTTCAAGAGTATAGGCCTAGTGCTCCAAGATCCTACATCCAAGCTGATGCTATGGGTTTCTCTGCTTGGATGGAACTTTACTAGAGGGGAAAGTTTTGGAAGGCTGAATCCATTTTCTTACATATATCTAAGATTTTATAAGTACCAAAAGATGAACATAACTATGGGTTTCATCACCTTTTATTTGTTATCTGAAACATTTTACTTATCATTATATATACCAAGCCCTCCAAAGCTTAACCCTGAAAACCCTTAATCCAAACACACCCTTGAAGCAATACTAATGAGAAATAACATGTTGGTCTCAATAGGTCCTAATTATTCAGCACACCACCTACCATATTGAGCTGCAGCAGCAGCGCTCATGTACATTGGTCTCAAGAGGTGTGGTGGAGGATTTGTTGGTGATACCCCATGAGATAAAGAAGAGTTCCGAAAACAGGGCTGGGTGCTTGGGAATGTTGGTGTAGTATATATTACTCCTCCAGGTCCAGGACGTGGAACACCTGCATAAATGTATAACCCAATTACTAGAGAAATCATGCAAAGGCCAAGAGTTTGCAACGGTTGACCACTAAAACACTGGAGTTGTAGTTCAGAAGTAGAAGATCCCACTACAGAGTGATAGTGGGACTGTGAAGAGTTTCTAAAAGAAGACAGAAGATGATAAACCTGTTTTTGATCTTATACTTACTTGTTTTCATTAAATCCAAATACCTTTGTGCCTCTTCCCTTCCCATCTCTGTAAAAATAACCTTAAAACACCACAACATATATTGCAAAAGCATAAGATCATCTTATAAGCATAGACATGGGGGGGGGGGGGGGGGGGGGGGGGGGATGCAAAGATAGTTCATATCACTTGCATTGCCATTTACCTCATCAAAGCACTCATCTGCACAAGGCATGTCTTTGCTCATTGGCAAAGAGAAATTGACTGCAAAGTACAAATCACCACAAAATGATGAAACTACATATAAAAATCAATTCATTTACATAATTATATACATATAGCACTACCTAACAACTCTTGTAATGCATCAGGAAATCTCATCCCCATTTGTTTGAATCTCAAATCAAAACGCAATTTGAGCTCTTCAGGTCTTGGAAAAATCACAACCGCAGACTAAGAAAGTGACACATCATCACCATGACAAATGTTAAGATAATTCCCATTCAAAAACTTTTCCTAATCACAAGAGGACATAAGCAATTTATTTTAGTATAAGAAATTAGAGGAATAGGCATACCTTTTTATAGTTTGAGAATGGTTCCAGTTTCTGCATACGATCAATCTTATACAAATTCCTACGGTCAAGTATAAAATTGCGGGGCAGATTTGAAGCCCTGAGTAAAAGTGTGTTACAGATCGTAACATGCACCTCATTGTAAATATACCCACGTGCCAGACCAGGCACCTAAGGGGATGAGAAAAAAACCATCAGTTTAGGCCAGTGTAGAAGGAAAGGGTTTCTAGGTTAGCATAAACATTTCAATCACCTTTTATTCATTTCTAGAAACATTATAGTTATCAAGATATAGTCTATGCCCTCCAAACCCCTCCATCCAAAAAGGCTCTTGAAGATTGGTGTCTTTAATAAATTTTCATGTTAACGTCAAAACCAATATTATAAAATACCTTCATCTTATTGTGGATTAAACTTGTCCCAATAACAATATAACGCTTCTCAGGTTGCTCCTTAACCAATTTCTCTGCCCAAGTACTCTTGCCTGAAGCAGGTAAACCAACCAGCATTTTAAGTTCACAACCATGAATATTTGAAAATGTTGGGCCTGGCAATGCCTTTCCATCCTCTATAGCAGACGACCATGGCTTATACCCTTCAATGACATCCAATCCATCCTCCACACTGAACTGTAAACTAACCACAACATTTTTCAGTAAAATATGAGGGAAAAAAGCGGAGCCCAAGTTTGGATGAATCTCGAAATGTATTGGAAGTCTCAACCATCTCCTATTCTTTAAGAAACCAATCGATGCATGATTGGAAGTTTCAAGGTCAAGACAGCAGATTATTTCGTCACGAACTCCAAAGCTCTCACCAAAGCAAGAAACTTTTCCAGCATTATAAATATCTCCAGTTGCTTCAAAACAAAAACTGTGCAAGCTTTCTCCAAGGTCTCCAACAGGATCATCTACCCTTGAAACACCAACTCGACATAAATGTTGTTGGTCTTGTGTGTTGTGCACCATGCTTACACGTTGTTCTGAAATGATTTTGCAGCCAAAGCAATACTTCCCTCCAGTTATTCCTGCATTCGCGCGAGCACCAGACCAAAAATAAGCAAACGCTTTTTCATGAAGTGCTGAGCCTTGGAGTCCATTGAGTCCTATGTCAAAATCTGGGGAAAAATAATTTCAATGTGTTAATCACTCAATTTAACATTAAACATGTACAGTATGTACTCGTATTTCAGTCACAGGAAGTCCACCAATTTAATCGAGCAGAGAATCAAGACTCTCAGTTTCTGTTTTACCATGATCGGACACTATGAGTTCTGATCACTGGTTCTTGAATACAAGAAAACAAATTAATCAAAGAACCGTGGTGATCACCACACTTATTCAAGACTTAAGGCAAACAACATAATTAAAATCACAAAACAAATCGTCAAAAGTGGCAACTCAAATCCCCAGAACACAATAAATGAAGTTGAAGACTTGAACCCAACATTCCATATTAAAAAGATGACTCATTATTGGTTCTATCAACAACGTGAAAAAATGTACCGAAACATAAAAAGATTAGCGACCGAAATGTTAATACTTGCCTATCTCACAGTCGGCCGGATTCAGGGTCACCCGCGGAGGAGGATCGGTGAGAGACGGCTGGACATTGGTGGCGGTAAAATCCAGCTTGGGTTTTTTACTACTAGCAACTTCATCCGGGTTTTGGAATTCTCGTTTAGAAGACGCCATTGCTGGGTTTTCTGCACTCATGTAATGGCGATCCTTACAGCATATGGAAGATACAGATAGGAATTGAGTTACTTGGACACTTTCTTTTTAGGAAGACGGTAGTCGATACTCGATAGCACAGACTTTAGTTCCAAGAAATCAATTCAGTGGTTATCTTTATTTAACAGAAAGTGAGAAACATTGTAACGGTAAAATTGTTTGATATTGCAAAAGTTAAATGTGTGAAAGATGTTGATCAGAGGATATTAATGGACGACAGAGATATAAAAGAAAGGTGGAGGTCATACTTTGATACACTATTCAACGGGAACAAAACGCAAGATATCGGCGATTTGTTCATACCAGATTGTATGGTAAACCGTGATTTTGTGAGAAGGATCCAAACAACGGAAGTTAAAGAAGCTCTGAGGAAGATGGGACGGAAAAGAGCAATGGGGCCAGATGGCATACCGATCGAGGTTTGGAGAAGTTTGGGAGAGAGAGGCGTCGAGTGGTTAACAAGTTTCTTCAACATGATTTGGAGAAACAACAAGATGCCAACGAGTTGGAGGAAGAGTACTCTTATCCCCTTATTTAAGAATAAAGGTGATGTACAAGAATGTGCCAACTATCGAGGGATTAAGCTTATGAGTCACACCATGAAACTTTGGGAGCGAGTGATTGAGCAAAGACTTCGAAGGACTGTGAAGATTTCAGAAAATCAATTCGGTTTTATGCCTGGTCGCTCAACAACTGAGGCCATTCACCTTCTTCGACAACTTATGGAGAAGTATAGAGATGCTCATAAGGATCTGCATTTGGTGTTCATTGACTTAGAAAAAGCATATGATAGGGTACCTCGAGAAGTTCTTTGGTGGGCCTTAACTAGGAAAGGCATATCACGCAAGTATATCAGCATCATCATGGATATGTATGAGGATTGTACTACAAGTGTTCGTACTAGTGTAGGGAGGACTGAAGAGTTCCCTATTACTATCGGAGTGCACCAAGGATCGGCCTTGAGTCCTTTCTTATTTGCCATAGTCATGGATGAACTTACGAAGTCAATTCAAGACGATATACCGTGGTGCATGATGTTTGCCGACGATATTGTATTGATTGATGAGACGCAATCAGGTCTTAAAGCAAAGTTGGAAGTATGGCGACAAACATTGGAGAATAAGGGTTTCAAACTAAGTCGGAGCAAGACAGAGTACATGGAGTGCAAGTTTGGTGGAGGTAGAAGTAGTGGTAATAGCGGAATTACTCTGGATGGTAAGGAGATACCGGTCAGCGATATGTTCCATTACTTGGGCTCCATAATTCAGAAGGACGGTGAGTTAGATGGAAATGTATCCCATAGAATCAGAACAGGGTGGATGAAGTGGAAGAGTGCGTCAGGATTTCTATGTGACCGAGGTATGCCGGCTAGACTGAAGGGTAAATTTTATAGGACAGCAATTATGCATGCATTACTGTATGGCGTAGAGTGTTGGGCGGTGAAACAATGTCACATTCATAAGATGAGTGTGACAGAGATGCGCATGCTGCGTTGGATGTGTGGGCATACTAGGAAGGACCGCGTGAGGAATGAGACAATCAGAAAAAGGGTGGGAGTAGCACCTATTGAAGACAAGATGCGGGAGTCGCGCCTACGGTGGTTTGGTCATGTGCGTAGAAGACCGAGTGATGCACCTGTTAGGCGAGTTGAGATGTGTGGACAAGAGGCAGGGAAGAGAGGGAGAGGAAGACCCAAACAGACGTGGGTTAGGGGAGTTCGAAGTGATATGCTTTTTCTGGGGTTGGATGAGGGCATGACTTTGGAGAGAACTAAGTGGAGGGAGGGTATTCACGTGAAGGAGTGATCTTGATAATCTTTTTCCCTCATCTTTTTTTTCCTAGTTTTTTTTATCCTTATATATATATACTAGTTAAGTAACGCGCGTTGCGCGTTCGTGATAATGCCCAAGGTTATTGTAATGATATTAATTTCTCGATTTAGTTTGAGTCAATAAGAGTAATATGAATACAATATCTGAATACATAGTTTGTTATGTATTCATAAAGAATCTTAATCAATAACGTATTTGTAGGCTAAATTATGTGGGGAAATAAAGCAGCCAAAGCCAAAATGACTATAATAACCACAATAGACGTAAGGTTCACATCAAATAGTAGCATGCATCCGTGTTGTTATATGAAAACACACATAACAAAGACAAAATGTTTTGCTTGAAAAATAGTCAAATATTTATTAGGGTCTAATACTCTAATACTTGCTTCATTCTTTTTTAAACGCAACGGTCCACTTTTCACATTTGCCAACACACAAGTTTGATCATTAATATCTTTCATACTTTATTAGTAAAAAAAATTAAAAAAATAGATTTTGAAACTTTAAAATGAGAGGAGTTTAACAATTTTTTTAAATTTAATTTATAATACATTAATAAATAAAACAGAATAAAAGTAGAACATGTGAATAGTGTAAAAAGTTCAATGTTACATTTAAAAGAGAATGGAGGAAGTATATTGAAAGTCACGTGCAGAAAAGCACAAGCTGCACCAACACTGTTCAACAACTTACATGAAAATACAAGCCAAAAAAAAAGAGAAACTTCTTCCAACAAAGGGGAAAATAATGTAAATACCCCAAACTTTGAAAGGGTGTGAAATAAATAACCCAAACTTGCATATGTAATACATATACCCCGAACTTTATATAAAAAGTTGTTTTCACACCATTGCTATATGCTTTTTAGAAATACAAATTTATTGCCATAAGTACGTAATTTAAAATAATCTAAGCTTTATTTGGATGCGGTTAACATTCTTAATTTTCATTTTTGAAATAAATAATATTAATCCGATACAATCTAATTTTAATTGCATCCTCATGATAACTGTATTGTGTGTTTTAAATTACTGTATGTACTTAACCCATAAATTTATATTTTTTAAAAACATATTATTGTGGTGCTAATAATATAACTTTTTATTGTTGTACATAAAACTGAATTCTCAATAGATCAATCGCAAGACTCAATTTGATGGCTCTTCTTATATGGAGTTTGGAGAGGCATACACACAATATCGTTTTGGCAAAAAGAACAAAAAGAACAACAATATTAAAAAATGTTCACCAGAAAGTAATTTTTAATTGAGAACTATTAGAAGATAACACTTGTAGAATAAGCTTATAACTATTAGGAGCAAAGAGAAGGGGTGAGAAAAATGGGATGGTTAAAAAAATACGGAGTAGTAAATGTGTGTTTAATTCAGAGAGGAATTATTATTTTAAAAAATATCTAAAGATTGTTTTGATAATTAATATTATGGTATATTTTTTTATATACTACATTACTACTAATATATACTTCGTATTAATTAATATATAAATATATATATTAAAAATATCACAAAGAACATGTTTTATTTAACCCCAAAAGAGAAGTTGCGGGAAAAATCCATAGCACCAAACAAAAACACAAGATTAGAGAAACGGTGAATACTTATCCATTTCTATCCCCTTACTCTAATTCTCTTCAACCAAACATGGGCTTAGGAACAAAACCGAGGCAGACCAATTAGAGAAACGGCGAATTCCTAGACTGGCATTTCAATCCCTTTCCATTCTTTTTTGTTTACTAAGAAGAGATAATAAATGAGAGAAGATGGATAACATGAATGGCTAACTTTACATTTATGTTTAAAATAACAACCTACACAAGGGGGACACAGAGGGAAAGAAGCCGGGTGCAGAACTTTAGTGGCATCCTATGATTCCTATCTAACCCTAAGGATTCATCGGTTGAAGGCTCTTGTTAATTTGACTAATACAGTTCATATAGGAGGGAGCAACATGACCCCTCGATCAAAGGATTACAGCTCGGCTAATATGCGAATTATGACTTTTGCCTCCATCAAGGGTTGACACCTGATAGCAGCCTCATCTGCGACAGAGCTCATACGAACACCTATGCATTACCATTCTGTCAAGAGGCAAGGCAGAGTGACTTGTCAAGTCCAGCCGGGAAATTATCACCTCTTCGCAATGGAGGACAACATCAATGGCCCCAGCTTGGGCAAGGCAAGCAATAACAAAAGAACAACAGAGAAGAAAAGGACTGGCAGCAGAAGCGAAGCCTCACCCTCGGCTAAACTACACAAACCAGGACAACACCTTGACTCCGCGAGGACAATGTCAATGTCAAACGTCGGGCAAAAATCAGTCAACCGAAGCTTCACCTTGGCTAAGCAGCCCCTCGGTTCCAGGCAATACTCAGAATCATATACTACGTAGTATTTATAGTATGAAAGTATCCAAAGCGACTGATTACGTCTTGTAACGTGCGATGCGCGATCGGGATAATGCTCAATGTGTTTTGTGTAACATAAATCTTTAATTATAAATGTTTGCACCTCAATCGAAGCTTCACCTCGGCTAAGCAGCCCCTCGGTTCCAGGCAGTACTCAGAATCATATACTACGTAGTGTTTATAGTATGAAAGTATCCAAAGCGACTGATTACGTCTTGTAACGCGCGATGTGCGATCTGGATAATTGCTCAATGTGTTTTGTGTAACATAAATCTTTAATTATAAATGTTTGCACCTCATAAATTATCTTTAATTATACCATACCATAATGTCAAACATAAATATATTATAAGGTATTACAATGGTATGCAAAAGGTCTTTTAAGACTGAAGTTTGTATGTTGGCCCATCTGTGAAGCTAGACTAAAATAAAACATAAGTATAATTTTTCTACATTACAGCTGGAATTGAGACCTTTAATTCTCCTAAGCTTACATAATTCTATGAAATCTCCACGTTTCATGTGGCATCTTCTTATAAACCGTAGGATCTGTTCAGTTGAGAACATTGACAACCCTTGTACTCCCCATTAACATCATTTTCTTTGATACTTTGCCTATAGTTACCAAGATTAATTTCTTCCAAACACATACCAACATCCTGGCAAAAAGAACAAGAAAAAGACATTAAATTCAAGTTGCTATACAAAATATCATTCAGTGTAATTAACAGTACTCGGCCATAATCAGTCTTTTCTTCTTCTTTTTTATCCATCCCATTAACATTGGTCAATAGGATAACAACCCTAAACGTTATGGGTGTAGATTATGTTCCTTTATTAACTAACAATTCAGAACACTCGACTGTTTAAAAAGAGGTAAATAAAACAGTGCGCTTTTGAAGATTGTACCAGGTCATGCACCTTTAGAAGATTCTATAGGGTCATTCACTTCCTCACAACCTTACCAAACAATAAAAAACATATTTCTTGCAAGAAATATGCATGGGAGCAAATGAACTTTCCCTCTACATTCATTTTAAAGAGAAGTAAAAAAATGTGTGCTTTTGAAGATTGAATAATGTCATACACCTTTAGAAGATTCTACATGGTCATACACTTCTGAAAGAGTCACCTTGCAAGAAATATGCATGAGAATCTTCAAATGATCAACTTCACCTCTAGTTCATTTTTTGAAATTAGAAATACCATCAAATTAGATCTTAAATAAGTGACTTTCGTCGTACACCATACCATATCCCGAACAGTCATAAGATTTCAACACTATGTAAGTTAGCATAAGCTCTCAAAACGTTTCTTAAAAGGTAGCACCGTATCATAGCCAATGATAAAGCAGGCTTGAGGCTTTTATTTATTTATTTATTTAACTTTACATGAAAAAAGGCTCATACATAAATAAAAAGTAACCCATACTTGTAAAATTTCATACAATTCAATTAACCAGGTGAAATCTTATAGATAAAATCCTCAATTATCATCCT